CTCTAGATTAATATAGGTTTATTGTAATAAAGTTTCTACTATGACATTATATTAATAAAAAAAAAAAAAAAAAAAATTTCTTATTCCATAAAAAGTATCAATTACAATTGCATATTTAAATAATTTTTCACCAGTATATTGAGTTTCATTTTCATTATATGTAATAGTTTTTATAAATTCAATAATAACAGGATTATATTTTGAAAGCCAATCTAAAGGTGTATATGATAATAAATTTTCCAAACTAATTCTTTCTTAATTATCTATTAAATTTATTAAATAATCATAAAAATTTTTTCTTTCTTTTTGAGCTATTTCCTTAGTAATTTTAATACATATTTGTTGATTATTAAAATTAAAATTAATTATTTCTTTTAATTGATTATTTTTAGCTATTAATTGATTATTTTTAGTTATTAATTGATTATTTTTAGTTTCTAATTCTTTAATTAAATTTATATAAAATAATCTTTGTTGTTCATTTTCTTTTAATTGATTATTTTTAGTTATTAATTGATTATTTTTAGTTTCTAATTCTTGAATTAAATTTATATCAAGTAATCTTTGTTGTTTACATTCTTTTAATTGATTTGTAATTTTTTCTAATTGCTTTTTAAAATTATTATAATCATCATTTATCGTACTTGCAAATTGTAAATTTTTTTTTAATTTTTCAATAAAATTATCATTTCTAATAACTTGATTATAATGCTTTTCATATATAATATATTTATCTAAGATCCAAGAGTTTCTTCTAATTCAGAATAATATTCAACTAAAAAATTTAATCTTTTGGTCCTGTTGCATGACGTAATTTTTGATCCTCTTTAGTTTCACATTCATTTAATTGAAGGTTTGTATCTTTATATATTTCTACTAAATTTTTAAATTTTTATTTTATTATCATCATTTTCTATTAATTGATTATCAATATTTTCCTCTGTTATATTCATAATTTCTATTACTAAATAAAATAAAAATTTATTATTTAATAAAAAATTCAAATTATATACGTATAAATAAGTTACAACCTATTTTTATTTTTATTTATTTTTTTTTTTTTTGATGTTAATGGTGAGACCTTGCTCTTATCTTTATTAAACTTAATTAAAATTTTTTACAA